CGAGGCTTCTGGATTCCTGAAATCCTTGCAACGAATTACAAACATGTTTAATGGCTCCAGAATCTATCCATCAGGAATTAATAGATATAACCACATAACATAGCTCAATGATTAAATATATATTTTCCTATGCCACGTCATTGCTTAGACAGTTCGTCCTTGAGTGTCATAGTTAGCGGCAAAAAAAAAAATAATTTCCTTCGCCCTCAACATACACTGCCTTATTCCCTTTAACCTTTTAGATACCTATGTTTTGTGCAAGCCTAGTCCTATTATCATCATTCTTCTTTACTTTGCCCATCCACTTGGGCCTAGAAGAAGATGGTATAGACTAGGTTAGATTGATAGGAACGCCCATACTCTTGATTATCTATTCATCTATTACCAATTCTATAAGAATATCAGCGAGTGTGAACTCAAACTGATTCTTTATTTAGTTCACTCTAACAGAATCGAACGAGTTTGGTAACAAGGCAATAATCATGTCAACTTGAAACTTACCACTCAAGTCAGCCTTATTGATCTCCAGCTCATTTTTAAATAATAAACAATCATTTTCCAAAATTCGATTTCATACTGGAATTCCTTAGGCTATCTTGATGCTATTCAAGTCTAACATAGTACTTTGGCATACTGTCTATCTAATCTCACTAAAACATCTCATTAAGTATCTTAAAGTAAAGGAATTAGGTATAGGAGTATTAAATACATTTTGTACCCTTACGTTGTGAATAAAATATCTAAGTTCCTTTCTCAGTCAATATTAATGAGATCCAGTTACATTGAATATGTAAGCAAGCAGATAAACTGGATTAGACATAATTAATCTGAATATAAATACATTCATACAATATGCAAGGTGAATTATTAATACTGTCATGCATATTTAAAATTAAAATGAGTTTGTTAACCACATAATATAATAAACCTCAATTGAACAAGAGATCATTATCATTATTGGTGAACAATCCCTTTTAATTAATGCGAGTCCCTCAACTCTGTAGCAAAATAAATCAACCAATCAATATGTCAATAACTTATCCTGTTGGAGGAGTTCATTATTACTATTGTTGAGATTCATCTACTATTAGGTGAGCACTTCCATTAAAATAGTATGTGGGGGGGTCCCTTAACCACTGCATGAAAAATCGGATAACCAATACACTAATAACTTATTCGGTTGGCGAAGTTCATTATTGCTATTGGCGGGCAAATCCCATCATCTCCATATCTCTTAAGACAATGCCTTGTCTATCTATATGAAATGATTCCCGATTATGTTTAGCCTTTCTAAAATCACCTAGTGTAGACCACTCCGTTGGAGAGCTAACACTATTGATTTTAGATTGAGTGTATAACATTATTAATGCTCTAATGAAAAATAAAACATTAAAGATCTTGTCATTATAATCTAGACTCTTTAAATCATGCGTAGGGCCTTATTTTTAAAGATCTAATTACAATAAAAATTTAATATTATTATTTTCATGAGATAACCATTCTTGTAATATTAAGACTCTTCAAATCATGCGTGGGGCCTTATTTTTGAAGATCTAATTACAATGGTTTTAATAACGAAGGCCATGGGGTGATGTATAAAAATCCCCGCTCCCACTCAATTTTTAATCATTCATAATTAGGGTTTTGAATTTATTTATTTACATGATATAATGCATGCAAAACGTCTTGATTTTAATCCAATTACATTTAGAAAATATTTGGGCTTTAAACGATTCACTAATATTTAATTTGAAGCACACTTTAAAAATAATTTACAAAAATAATTTTGCGTTTCCCAATAGGTGCCCTCAAATTAATTAGTAATCAAATCCAATTAATTTTCATAACTTAATTAATATAAATCAAGCCATTTAAATAAATATCATGGATCCAATGCATGAATAATAATTAATGAACAATTATATATTCCATGCATTTCATACATCGCATAAATAAATAAATGACAGATAAAGCAAATAAAATGGCCAATGGAATCAGCTTTTAACATTTAACTACTCTAAGTATTACGGGAAGATCATCCATCGGCTTGCAAACACCCACATAAGGCTGGTACGCACCGGGAGAAGCGAAACGGCGGTCCGAATGTGCTTGAATGGTCTTACACGCACCAACACGTGCTTACCACGCGCCTTCCAACCTCTTCACTCGCCTGGACGCGTCTCTAGAGGTCTCCAGCGCGTGCCATGCGCTCCCACGCGCCTGCACGCGCTGGGAGAATGCTGAAGCGCGTGCCACGCGCTCTCACGTGCGGGCACGCACGTGTGCGAATTGCCATGCGCGCTGATGTGGTTCCGGCGCGTGTCATGCACGCGCCTTGCTACTGCTGGTGCATGGGGCAACTTCCAGCCGCACTGCACTGGATCTTTGCCTCGCTGAACTTTAATCCGACGGTTGCTGATGCGCGCTCATGTATACCGCACCACACCGGATCATCCGTCCACCTTCCGGAGCTGTCCCTTGTCGCCGGCCATACTCCGGTCGCCGGAAAATCGCCGAAAAATTCCAGAAAAATCAGAAAAATTCCCAGAAAATTAAATTAAGCCTCAAAAAATTCCAGAAAAATTCCAAAAAAATTCAGAAAAATTCCAGAAAATTACTGAAGCATAATTTAACCCTTTCGGACCATCTTGAAGCTTCATAGCATCCTTTGATGAATATTACATGGTTTTAAAAATATTTACAATTTGAAATACAATGGAAAAAATTAAATTACATCATTGAACTTTCAAATGGCTAAATCAAAGCCTTAATTACAGTCATCCAAAGATAAAATTACATTCAATTAACCTATAAGCTTCATCTATGGCTCAAACACACATCATCATCCATTCACAATTATACATACATCATCATGTATCAATATATTAAATCATACATCAATATATATATATAATTTGGATCCATTATGATGATTTTGATAAAAACATGATCTCTAGTAATGAATCAAACTATGCTCTGATACCATTGTTGGGAAACGTGCTAATTTTAAAAACTTTTCGAGAGATTTTAATTCATAGATCTTGATTCATTACATAGGACAAGTTTTATGCAAAAATAAAATATGATGTATCATTCAATTAAAATATTGAATACTTACATCAAGATTTGAGTAAACCTTAGATCTCTCCTCTAAAGTGAATGTTCTCACTTATTGTAGATCCCTTTTGCTAGACACCTTTTCCATAGATCTCCATCTTCTTGGTAATGGTCTTGCCTTTAGGAATCACTCATAAGCCTCCATGAATGACCTTGAAAAAACTAGGCTTGTGGGAGCCTCCATTAGATGAGAACACTAACCCTAATTTTCTAGAGAGAGAAAATTTATTCCTTTTTCATTCTCATCAAAATCACCCCTAAAATATACATAGGCCATGTATATTTATAGGCAATATAAAAATAAAGAAAAGGAAACAACAAATCCTTCTCAATCTCTAATTCATATCTCTCAAATCTAATATGATTCCAATATCAAGTTGGGCTATGAGTGAGAATCCATTGGGCTTATTATTTTATTGGCTACAATGAATTAATAATTGGTCCGGTCCATGGACCCAATTCAATTAATTCATAAATTAATTTCTACTCCACTAAAAGAAATTAATTGAACTCCAATTAAGTAATAAATAACCTCTAAGTCGATATTGCACTTTGACCCCTCTATGCATAATTAGTTATCGGATAAATAAAGCCATCAATCCGACTACTTAATTAATATATTTATTTTGGTACCATTGATTATTTCTGGCTCGATCACAATAAAACATTTGTTTGACAAAAATAATAATTTAATAAATAAATATATAATAAATCATTTTGTCTAAAAACACACGAAGGCCTTCGAATTTACTTTGTGATCAACCACAATCAATACAAAATAAATACAAGTAACAATGATGCAAATATTGAAAATATAACCCTCTAACTATTAATTACATAACTACCCAAATTGTCGGTCTAAGGATCCCGAAAAATCCGCCGAACAAATCAAAGTAATTATTAATTAATAAAAGAGTCTATAATTTTCTCATGCTTAAGAGTCAAATGCCATGACGGTGATAGGGAGCAATTGCATACGACGGCTCTCGCAATATATCTCAACCTAACGCGGATCCAGTTCAAGTCTTAATTAATTATGAGTCCATCCATAATTACCGACTATGAACAATTTATGATTACTATTTATATTCATGTATTGATCGCCATCACATACATATATAAATACCTCTTGTAATCAAGTGGACACTATCAATTCTATAATGAATCGAAATATAATACATTGAATTCACCAATTGTATAAAACATAAATATTTCAGAAACGTCAGGAACATATGTCACTTTAATCCAAACAGGAATTTGCTATGCCAGGGCATATAAATCCTAACAGAGACTATACCAAAAAATGGGCTAAGATACAAAAGATAACAAAATACAACTCTTAATCTTCTTCAAGCTTGCGGGGGATTGTCATCCGCCACTTCTTTCCCGTTTCCTGAAAAAAATGTTAAATAAAAGAGGTGAGCAAAATTGCTAAGTAGGTGATACTTAAGACACACCTCTTGTGTCTTCGTGAATCCAAACAAGGAATAGAACCATATGAATCGGGGTTATACTATGTCGGGAAAGTATAACATTAAATCCAATCTCAGCATACACAATATGATGCTATGAAATGCAATGCATGCCGATGTCGTTCCCCATTTTCAACATTCAAATCAATCACTTTTAAACTGTTAATATAACCCGCCTTTTGGTGACCCCGCAGTGACACGAGAGAAGGATTGACTAGTGTCCTTGACCCTTGGTACTCCCGTGGTGTCATTTTGGACCCAGCTAGCTCAACCACGCTAGGTGTGATACCCCTCGTTTCTAGAGTTACAGGTGATCAAATCCGAGCACAGATCCGAGGGATACCAAACAATCAATATGTAAACAAGCAAGAATAAAACTGAAATAAGATTTAAATAATACTAAACAGAAAGAATACTAATATGAAAATCCTCAAACCTTAAATAATAATTTAATATAATTTAAATCCGTACAACTCGGGAATCCACCTAGTGGACCCCTAAATCCAAATCTTTAGATAAATTTACAGAATTAAAATCCAAAACCATAATAGGAAGGAAATCCTATGTAACCGGTAGAGTGAGTGTCTGTATTTGCATCAACACGATCAAACTCTATGCTGGAACTGGCGAATACCTGAAAAATAGGAGTGGGTCAGGTCCACATGCAAGTTCCAATCTACTACAATCCGTACATAAACCTGATACGCAGATACATCCTAGACAGCTCGGCAATATCTATAATAGTCCATAGATATATAAATACACACTATAGAATGCTCACTAGCCTATAACATAGTTCAGCCTGGGTAGAAGGTGACATATAAAACACGCTTTTCAGCGGCCAAGTACCTAGACCTACCAGGGAACATTAGCTATATCCAGCTACTCAACCTTTGCAATATACGCACCCTAACCGTGATCGGGAAACTCAAGCTCGTATCACGGTACCATAAATATATATATAAATTCCTTCCTAGTGCAGAAAGATAAAACAAATATCCATTATGCCGTTCAACTGTTTTAGTTGACAGGACATGCATCCATGTAGGATTTAACTGTTTTAGTTAATTCATTCCTTATGTATGAAGGGGTAGGACTTAGCTTTTTGATCTAATCCATCCTTGATATGTCACCGTCCCATACCGGTACATATAATGCAAATGATCCTTGAATGATGCAACATTTTCAACAGTTCATCAAATCATACCCACGTAATCCAAATAGTTGATATACAGAGTTTAAATAGTTCATCAACTTGCAATCCAGAATCCATCCATGTAATTAACGAGACAAAGTTTAATAATTCATCAAGTTAAGATCCAGTATCCATCCATGTCATTGACAATTTAATTCATTTAATTAAATTTCAACTAACCCATAGTACAGTCCAGCAGTTGACAATATTAACAATAGTAAAAGTCAATTATAAAGCTGAGAATACCAAACTATAACTCAGAAAAATCCATAGTACTAACCAATAGTTGCTGAAACATAAAGAACAGTTTAACCATTAAAATAACAATCTCCATTTAATTAATGGAACTTAATTTATTGGTTCCTTAATTAAAATTCAACCTATGCACAAATAAGGTCTAATAAATACATGACCCTATTCTGTATCTAACATAGATTTTAAAACCATCCTCCAATCATCTAAGTTGCTAAATTAAATTTACACAACTAGATACTTTACAATCGCCAACAATGTGCGTCATTACTTAAAACTCCTACACTGTGAAAACCCTTAGCATATTAGGATAAATTATTCATTATGAGTCCTAATATAGCATAATATCATGTTTAGATTCCATGCAATAGTCCGTTAATTTTTAAAAACAAAACTTAGCGCACCAGTCCTTCCTATCCGTTAGCAGCGTACAAAGTCGCTTATTTTTACACTGTTTATTCCATTTGCCCTATGAACCAAAATATACAATTAGAGGAATTAAAAACCCTTGAAAATACTTTTAGAGTTCTCATTCCAGTCCCTAAAACCATTTAGAATTTCAAACATAGCCCAAGCAATGCTTAAACAGCTCCAAAATGCATCCAAACGTGTCTTAACCAATGGAGCATGCTCTAAAATAAAAGAGCATGCTCTATTCTACCTAAAGCTGGCTCCCTAACCCCTTGGAGCCGGCTCTAAGAAGGGGGATACGGCTCCCACAATTTGGAGCCCTCTCTCTCTCAGTTTGAGCTTTCTCCTCTACTCCAAACTCATCTCTGCTTCGTCTGGTTGCCATCTGTGCTTCCGGCAAAGCTTCCTATCCGATCCCCAAATCTTTGTAGCATCTTTAGAACTCTATTTAAGTTTCTTATAGTCCTAGAACCCCTCATACTCCAGTGTAAATCAATCGACATAAAGTAAACTCACAACAGAACAGTTTATGCAACAATAAGTTTAAACTTTAAAAAACGCAGAACAGATTACAGAAAACATCTAGCATGCATAAAGTCCATTTTTAAAAGTTTAATTACGTTCCTAGAGTCTATATAAGATGCACAGAACACAAGTTTACAGGAGAGGAATAGACTGAAACTTGCCTTAAGATTCCGGTTTGAAATCTTCATCGTCGTCTCTAAGTTTCAGAGCTTCTCCAAGACTGTTCATTCCTCTAATCACTGCTCCAGTTCAATCTCAAAGTAAACCATTCCCTGCTCCTTGATACGACCTTCAGTTACATTGCTGAAAGCCTTTCCCCAGTTTTCCTTTCATATTTTACTCCTCAGCCTCTCTGTTTCTCTTTTTCTCTAGTTACGGGAACATAGTTTGTTTTTTTACCCTTGCCAGACCTACAACTTATATATATATAGGCTCCATTAAAACCCTAATCCTAATTTCCATGACTCATTATATGACGGCTATACAACATAAACCCCAAACTTAATTTATAAATCATATAAGCCATATACAACACACGTCAGTTAAAACCAAATTAATCAATCAATTAAATTAAAACAAATAATCAATTAATTTAAAATACCAATTAATCATCCAATTAAATTAGAACAAATAAATAATTAATTTAACACAAAAAACAATTCTAATTAAACATATAGCCAAATATTCACATAAAACACAAAATCTAAATAATTAAATAAAAATAAAAATAAAATTCAAAGAAAATTTAATTTAAATTCCAGCTATATCCTTTTAAATATTAGGGGTATTACACTAGGGCAATCTCCCTAGTTCCCTCTAGGCTATATTAACACACCGGCCCTTTGGTACCCCCACAGCGATCGAGTTTTCATAAAACCATTTTATCAAAACTTCACTCCGAAAATCTCCCTTTTTCGTTTCAAAACAATTTTCCCCATTTTCATGCCTAATGACATGCATAAACATTACGTACTTTCTTAATGCCACGACAAATGAAAGATTTTCATACTACACAAATTAACATGCTTCCATATAGCAATTTCTAGTAAGTTACTAACACCATAGGTATAAGAAATTAACACATAAACATGCTTTCCACGTAGTAAGTTTTAACAAATTATCAAGCAGAAAAGCACATAAAGTCAACATTTAAGCATGCTTTTCACATAAATCCTGTAATAGTTATAATTATATATATATATATATGTATATATCTATGAAAGTTATAAGATAAATATATATTTTTTAAGTAAGTGGGCCCCACCAATGTCTTAAGCATCACAAAAGGCCATAAGGCCATTACGTAAACCCATTAGCTTCTCTCTCTCTCTGCTGCATCATTTTACTCACGGCAGTTTCTCTTTTTCTTTCTGTTTTTGCAACTTCAAACCTTATCTAGTTATTTCCTTTGGGAATTTGGTAGAACATTGTGAAACAAAGTTGTAGAGCTCGTCGAGGCCGTCAATTTGATAGGAGCCGATCATCATTTGGCCAAGCTTAGGGATTCCGAAATTAGGGCTTGGATTTGGAGATTTTGGGGGTTTTCACCTCCAATGAGAAATGAGGTTCACTTTTCATAGAACTCTAATATTTTGTAAATGTAACATTAATTATGTTGTGAAACTTTAGTTTAATTAGTATAATGTTGTATGTAATACCCCTAATTTTAAAAGGATATTCTCGGTATTTTTTTTAAAATTATTTTAATTGCATTTAATTATTTAGTTGATTTTTTGGCTAATTGTTTATTGGTTTAATTGATTTAATTGTTTAAATATGTTAATTTAATTATTTGTTTAAATTGAATTGTATGTGATGATGTGTATTTATTTATGAATTTAATTATTTATTTTTATTTTTATTTTATTTATTTTATTTTTATATTTTTAAGGAATTGGATAAGGATAGTAGTAATTGACCAATCAATTGGACTGACATGGACTACTTGGATAAGGGGTTTAATAGGTACGGATAATTACCCATGTATATGTATATTTAATAAATAAATAAATATATATATATAAGGAAAGTCCTTAAATAATAATCTGATATATATTTATATATTATATATAAAAAGGAGTACACATAGATTATACGTAACATATATTTAAGTTACCTTTTTAGTTTTTAAATTTTATTTTATTTTAGTTTGTCTTGGAATGGAAAAAGGATTAGGGTTATTTTAGTTGCCTATAAATATATAACTATAGAGTTGTGAAAGATGTTAGAAAATATATCACGTACCATAGTTTAGAGGGAGAAAGAAAGAAGAGGAAGTAAGAGAAAAAGGAAGAAGGAGGCTAGGGTTTTGATCAAATCCCTAAAGGCAAGTTTTAATTCTTCTCTTCTCCTTTGATTCGTACTCTATGCATGCTAGATTAATTATAGTTTCTTTAAATGAATTAATTGAATCAAATTTTATTGATTAATTTGAAAATTTAAATTCATGTTTTAATAATGAGATTTAATTCTTCTTTTTCTGCCGAACTTAACACTGTTGATGGCCTTAGTTTTTATTTTAATTTATCTATTTTTTTTCACACATGAGTTAGTTATAGCATGAATCAGTTTGGGTGCGCACTAAACGAGGGTAGTAATTGTTTACATGAATCAGTTTGTATAGTATAATATATGAAGTCAAAATTTGAATTTGTTTCCTTTATGAATGCACGCCAAATGAGGCTAATGTTTGCCCGAATCAGTTTGTATACCATATGCATATGAAATCAAATTTTGCAATTGTTTCCTTTATAAATGCACGCCGAACGAGGAATAGAAACATATTGATTTGAATGAATCAATTTGTAATGCAATTGTAATTAGAATCAATATATTGTGCACACCATACGAGAAGAAAGGGCAACTGTTTTAGGAATGCATCAGTTTGGTACATAATGGGTTTGGCATTAAATAAATTTGTATGTAAATCTATTTAATGCTGAAATATTAAATTAGTATTATTATTTTGTTATTTTTGGATTGATGAATCTATATTAAATATTTAATTAAAGTAAATAGATTCATTAAGAATTGGAATGCATGATTTAAGTTTACATGCTAAGTATGGAATTTAATTAATTTAAAAAGGTTAAATTAATTAAATATTGTTGGATTAAATTATTTTAATCAATTATTTAGATTTAAAGTAATTTAATTAGAACTTAGAGATGTACAATTTAGTTGAGATGCATGTTAATTTCTTATGATGTAAATTAAATGCATGCTACTTAGAATTGATATTTTTGCTCAAGTAAATGCAAATGATGTGTTTAAGATTTATATCATGTTTATTTGGATTATTAAATGTAAATATTATTTACATTATTCTTGGATTGAAAACTTTTATTTGATTATGATATGGATTAATGCACCATTATGGGATGGGGGCATATTAGGGACGGATTAACTTAAAAGTTAAGTCCTACCTATTTTTAATAAGGGAACGGATTAACCACAGTGTTAAGTCCTACTTATTCGTGTTAGGTCAACGGAACAGTTGGATGACATATTATTAAAATAATAATTGGATAGTTTATTTTGATGGTTGTATAGGACGGATTTTACATATATAATTATACGCCATGATATGAACTTGAGTCTCAGGATCAGTGGTTAGGGTGCATATATTGCCAGGGATGTGTAGCTCGATATAATGTAGTTGTGTACCTTGGTAGGTCTAGGTACTCATGCCCACTATATGTGCGTTTTGCATGTTGCCTACTATTCAGGTTGAGACAACTCTATAGTCTGGTGAGCTTCCTTTAGTGTGTGTATATCTATATATGGACTATTTAGTTATTGTTAAATTAATTAGGATGTGTACGTGTATTGGGTCTCTGTTTGGGATGTAGTAGGTTTAGAACTTGTATGTGAGCCTGACCCACCATTATTTTTCAGGTGTTCGTCAGTTCCATTCTTAGAGATTGTTCGTGCTGAACAAAGACAATCATTCACTCTTCCAACTCTATGTAGGACTCTTCTTCATGGTTTAATTATTAGTTTTATTTCAGTTCAATTATTTCAGTTAGGAGATTATTAGGGGTCCACAATATGGATTCCCGAGTTGTAGTTTTAATTAATTACTGGTATCAGATGATTGGAGGATTTTAGTATGGGATTTTTAATTATTTTTATTTGAGGATTTTTTTATAAGGATTTATTATTTAGTTTCCTTCAGCTGATTATTTATTTAATTCTTTATTATTCTTTTTGTATTCAAATGCTTGTTTGAATATTAATTGTTTGATATCCCTCGGATCTGTACTCAGACTTGATCACCCGTGACCCTAGAATCGAGGGGTATCATATTGTAACCTATGGACTATTAAATTTAAGTTACATTTTATGGACTATAACTTGATGCAACTAAAGTATACTCCTTATTTGGATGAGATGGAGGAAGGGGACATTTCATATGTATGTAACCATCTTGGGAATGTGATATAATATCTGTATTGTGCGTTGGGACAAGATATGTTAGATTTAAGGCCCAGTGAGACCATTGCATTTATTTTTTGTATTTCAACAGGTCGTAGAGGGACTTTTTCTGCGGAGGTCATGCCGAAATTTTATATATTTTTTATTATTATTTTGGTATCCTTTTGGAACGTTACAAATCCACTTATACACAAAATCATGAATTTCATATACAAAACCAAATCATTTTAGAGATATTCATCTCAAATTAAGCATGCTTAGTTATGATTAACAAAGAATAATTCACAAGGGAGCAAGAGGATTAGGAACCCCTACCTCAATTATATGCAAAACCCCCAAATTCCACCTCAAATCTTAGGATTTTTCGAATTTCCTATAATGCACGAATCAAGGAATTGCTCCTATCAACTTGTAGGCCTCGCCGTGAGCTTCAATTTGCCGCAAACAGCATTTAAAAACACGAAGAATAGAGAGAGAAATTAAGTCTTGAATTTGTAAAATAAAAAAAGAAAAGAAAAAGAGAATGCTGAGAGGAAGGGAGACTGGCAGCGGGAGAGAGAGAATGAGATTACAGAGAACCGAAAAAAACGTGGTCTTATGACCACTTAAAAAAAGCTATGGGTCCCTCCACTATAAGAAAAGAAATATATATATATATATAAACTTAAATATATATATATATATAAACTTAAACATTACAGGTTTTGCTTTCACAATGTTTCATGAGAAGAGTAAAAATAAAAGGGCGTGAACGGCTAGTTTGGTACAATGTAAATGGAATGGAAAGAAAAGAAAAGAAAAGAAAGAATTAACGGATGGAGATGAAAAATTATGTTTGGTATGAATGTTGGAAAGAAAATAAATAAAAAGGGATGGATTAGAAGGTTAAATAAGGCATGAATAGTAATTTTTATTATCATCTCAAAATAAGAGAAAATGGGAGGAAAAACTAGATTTTTTAATATGAAGAAAAGGGTATTAGTATTCTTTCCTCTTTTTTTTTTTTCATTTATTAATCACAAGAAATGTTATCTTTTCTTTTCCAATTTACCAAACATAGACAAAGAATTTTTATTTAAAATGCTACTTTAGAGCACTGCACTTTATTTTTCTAAAAATATAATAACGTAATAATCTTTGAAATGAAATTAAGTTAAACCGGAATTAAGTTCAGATTAATTAAGATTGGGTTCTGGTTAACCAAGCTCAACGTTAATTACATTAACCAAGCTCAACGTTAATTACATTAACACGCATGAAGTAAGGAGATTGCATTATCGTTAAGTTCATCTATCCATTTGTTTCTATGAAAAGTGAACCTCACCTGACACCTCAGACCCATTCAAACTCTATTTCCGTTCATAGGCTTTGTACTAATGCATACAAGTATGTATCCATATATATGAGTGAGTAGAACAAGACGTTTAGTTACAATTATAATAGCACTTGCATTATACGCTTTTACATCATTAGGGAAAATAGAAGTACAGAATAATAATATAGGCGTTACATGAAAGCAGCAAAATAACATACATAAACTACTACAGTGAATTCTGATATTAATTACATGGAGCTATTAGTTGGGCACGGAGGGGTGGCAATGTCGGTAATCCCCTCCAGCATCAGCACTACACTCTTCATTGAAGGACGAAGAACCGGTTCATCCTGAATACACCATAGTCCCACTTTTACCATCTTCTCCAATATATTCTTCTCAACTTCTTCGCTGCCCACAAGCTTGTTCAATTCCCTAGCAACAAAGCACTTGTACACCCAGTTGGAAAGAACAACCTCCTCTGGTTCTGATACATTGACTTCTATGTTCCTTCTGCAACATATAATTTCTAACAACACTATTCCGTAGCTGTAGATATCAACCTTCACTGTTATTGGGATGTTCTTTTGCCATTCCGGTGCCAAGTAGCCTCTAGTCCCTCTGACCTGCGTGAAGGTCCTTGTTTGATCTGGCATCAGTAACTTTGCCAACCCGAAATCAGAGATTTTAGCAGTCCAGAAATCATCCATCAAAATGTTGTGAGGCTTTATATCGCAATGCACGGTGGGGGCCTCACACTCTTCATGTAGATAAAGGATCCCTCTGGCAACATCCAGCGCAATCCTCACTCTCTCATTCCAATCCGGCCGCCTTGGAGCCCGAAACAGAAGATCTGCAAGTGACCCGTTGCTCATAAATTCATAAACCAGAAGCCTCTTTGATCCCTCTGCGCAGTAGCCAAGCAACCGGACTAGATTCTTGTGATGAGTTCTCCCAATTGCTCGCATTTCTGCTCTGAACTCCTTTTCCCCCTCTTCCGCAATCTTCTCTAGCCTCTTCACTGCAATTAGCTTTTTACCTTTGTACAAAGCTCCTCTGTAAACTGTTCCAAAAGAGCCCTGGCCCAATTTCTCTATGAAGCCACTGGTAGCCTTTCGAAGCTCATTGTAAGAATATGACCTCAGGGTGAACTCCTCAATCAGGCCAGAACTTGCAGTTTCCAACAACCTTCTATACTTTAAAATGCGGAATTTGAAAATGAAAAGGCCTGAGAAGGCAAGGGCGAAGCACGAGTAGGTAACCAAGCTCAAACATAGAACAAGAATTAGCACCAATGCCTTCTTGCTTGTGGTCACCACCACCGGTGGATTCGGAAGAATCTGGTTGTTGCTTCTAATGGGTTTTGTACCCACCTTGAAGAATATAGTATCACCACCGTCTGATTGCCTACTAATGTATCTGAGTGGAAGCATGAATTTCATGCAGTATTTTTCCGTAAGCACCGATGCGTCACAAAGACAGTCCTCCAAACAGGACTTGCTGCAGTCATCGCTGGCCACTTCTGCTTCATAGTAAGTACCGTCTAGCGAGTTAAGATTATCAATAGGAACAATGTGATAAAATTCATTTGTTTCCCCATCTTTGCAGCTTCCTAATTTGGTAAAATTCCTCTCGCATCCACTACACTTCTTATTGGGATCAAGAAAATCAGCACCTGGAATACAACTGCAGTAAGGTTTATCGTCATTCAAGTAACAGTAGCTGTTGAAACCACAGAAACCCTTCACATTACACATGTTTTCAATTGCTTTCCACTCTATCACCGGTTCAGAGTTGCCCCTGGGATGAGAATACAGTCTGAAATTTCCATCAACATCAAGGGTTGCACGGTGGACAACTGTATTGTTGCTAAGAGATGAATCACTCAATGATTTGATTGTGGTGGAATCAGTGTTGTTGATGAGGAGCAGTGAACCGCTACTGTTTAGATAAAGATGAGTCTGGGGGTCAGTCCAAGTATTCGAAGTCCAGTAACAATCTGTCCATATATCTTCAGTATTCACAGGATATGCAACCAGATTCCCATCATACTGCATCTTGAGACGAAACTTTCCAGTGGAGTGGTTTGTTTCAGAGAAACTAGAAAACAACGAATGCCCAGTAGAAAGATTTTGGCCACCTAAAATGGTATCAGTAGGAAAGTCGAAACTCTGCCAAATGACAACGAAATCCTTGCTGTATAGCACAAAATTTCCAGAGTCGAGCATGGAAGCAAAGGAAGCAGAGTGTGGTGAATTGGCAGTGATTGATCTATCTTCACTTTGGGCAGTACTTCTCAAGAGAAGCTTACCGGTTGTAGTGAATTCCAGTGTAGCATTTGAGAACACCGGTGGGTCATCACGATTGGCAGTCCATACCGTAGTATTTTGTGAGCCTGCCCCACCCACCAACCAAATTCCCACTTTAAAGCCACCGCCTTGCTGGTAAAATCCAAATGCAAAACGGCCGGAAGGTGACTGCCATGGTTGAGTGATTGGGGTGAGAGAAGTGCCCGGGCTTATCGAATTGGACTGCTTTTGCTGATCGGCACCAACAACCGCTTCAAAGCATACAAAGATATGGATTAAGAGAACAGCACAAGTAAAAGAAGCCATATATGAGAGGGAATATGGAGAAATTGGCATTCCTAATAATTTTTGCTTACTATTTAAGCGACTTGTATTAAAGAAGAGAGTCTATGCATAATACTCGAAGAAGCTCAATGTCTGTGAAGTAATAATTATCACATGTTTTCTTTTAAAATGCGCTGTCATTTATGTGCACATTTTTCTTCCTTGACTGGCTCAGAAAAAAAAAAAAAAAAAAAAAAAAAAAATTCAAGTTTGGAAAAAAAAGAAAAAAAACTAACAATGCACGAAATTTCTAGCTAGAAAGCAGAAGGAACAGCTGAAGCAAAAATGAGTCTTTTATAAAAGGCAGACAACCACAATTCTCACATTAATATTTTACGTAATTCACTACCAATGGTAAAATACTAAATTGGATGCTAAATTTATATTTTGACAGTGTTATAGTATCAAAATACTATATTTTAGCAATTCTGTTCCAATGATACATTTTATGCAAAATGCTATTTTTTTACACAACCATTATTCTTTTTCAACTACCATTCCCACTATTAATGTTAATATTATGCACATTCCAAGTCAAGTTGTGGACATTAGAAGGAAACTAAAATTAAACTTAATTAAAAAGAATAAAAAATCTAAAATATCTGATCAAAAAATGATCCAAATATATATATATATATATGTATATATAAATTTATATGTTATATATATATATATATATATATATATATATATATTGGGGGGAGGGGGCACAATTTCATAATATATATATATTTTTAATATATATTTAGGGCAAATCATTTCAGCCTCCCAAATCACCATATATAGTTTTAGGGCAAATCATTTCCGCCTCCCCAATAGCCTCCATCTCTATTATGCCAACAATGCACGAAATTTCTAGCTAGAAAGCAGAAGGAAGAGCTGAAGCAAAAATGAGTCTTTTATAAAAGGCAGACAACCACAATTCTCACATTAATATTTTACGTAATTCACTACCAATGGTAAAATACTAAATTGGATGCTAAATTTATATTTTGACAGTGTTACAGTATCAAAATACTATATTTTAGCAATTCTTCTCCAATGATACATTTTATGCAAAATACTATTTTTTTACACAACCATTATTCTTTTTCAACTATCATTCCCACCATTAATGTTAATATAATGCACATTCCAAGTCAAGTTGTGGACATTAGAAGGAAACTAAAATTAAACTTAATTAAAAAGAATAAAATATCTAAAATATCTGATCAAAAAATGATCCAAATATATATATATGTATATATAAATATATATATTGGGGGGGAGGGGGCACAATTTCATAATAGAGATGGAGGCTATTGGGGAGGCGGAAATGATTTGCCCTAAAACTATATATGGTGATTTGGGAGGCTGAAATGATTTGCACTAAATATATATATATATATATATATATATATATTTAATAATAATATAATCAAATATATATAAATTTTGGATATATATATATATATATATTTGATTATATTATTATTAAAAATATATATATATATTGAGGGCAAATCATATCAGCCTCCCAAATCACCATATATAGTTTTAGGGCAAATCATTTCTGCCTCCCCAATAGCCTCCATCTCTATTATGCCAACAATGCACGAAATTTCTAGCTAGAAAGCAGAAGGAAGAGCTGAAGCAAAAATGAGTCTTTTATAAAAGGCAGACAACCACAATTCTCACATTAATATTTTACGTAATTCACTACCAATGGTAAAATACTAAATTGGATGCTAAATTTATATTTTGACAGTGTTACAGTATCAAAATACTATATTTTAGCAATTCTGTTCCAATGATACATTTTATGCAAAATGCTATTTTTTTACACAACCATTATTCTTTCTCAACTATCATTCCCACCATTAATGTTAATATTATGCACATTCCAAGTCAAGTTGTGGACATTAGAAGGAAACTAAAATTAAACTTAATTAAAAAGAATAAAAAATCTAAAATATCTGATCAAAAAATGATCCAAATATATATATATATATATATATATATATATATATTGGGGGGAGGGGGCACAATTTCATAATAGAGATGGAGGCTATTGGGGAGGCGGAAATGATTTGCCCTAAAACTATATATGGTGATTTGGGAGGCTGAAATGATTTGCCCTAAATATATATATATATATATTTTTAATAATAATATAATCAAATATATATAATCTAAAATATCTGATCAAAAAATGATCCAAATATATATATATATATATTGGGGGGAGGGGGCACAATTTCATAATAGAGATGGAGGCTATTGGGGAGGCGGAAATGATTTGCCCTAAAACTATATATGGTGATTTGGGAGGCTGAAATGATTTGCCCTAAATATATATATATATATATATTTTTAATAATAATATAATCAAATATATAAAATTATTATATATTTGATTATATTATTATTAAAAATATATATATATATATATATTTAGGGCAAATCATTTCAGCCTCCCAAATCACCATATATAGTTTTAGGGCAAATCATTTCCGCCTCCCCAATAGCCTCCTCTCCCTCTCTCTCTGTGCAACTATAAACTACAAAATCAACAAGAATCAGAAGTTCAAAACCCATATCTTTCGCCCGCTGTTCCAGTTCGGGTTCGCGTTCGCAAGCTTTAGCCGCTGTCTTTCAACTCTCAAGCTTGCCCCCTCTCTTTCTCTCTACAACTGTTAACTTGTACGTATGGGTTTTGTTTTAATTTTTTTTCTAAATCAACTAATCAAGGTCTGTAATTCTTGTTTTGCAAACTAAATCCTATTTGGTGAAATTCTTTATGATCTTTTTTAAATATATGTATATATATATATAGAATATACATATATATATATGAACCCAAATCGGCATATCTTTTCAGATTGGTCAAAAAATCAAAACCCATATCTTTCAGTTTCCATCAAAAATGGCAAAACCAAATTTTGACAGGTAATATAACAAGCAATTGAAGACCACAATTTTAATCCACCTGCTATATTTTGAATTGGCAACCCATATGGCAGGTAGGTTGGAGATGCTCTAATGGTAATAGAACTGAAGTGAAAGTTAATCTTCACTAGGATCTCTAATTACTGGAAAATTAATTTATAACCAGTTTAGCTGGGACACTAATAGGCATGTTAAAAAAATAAATAATAATATAATACATTATTACAGGGAAAATGATTGTTGAACAGATTTATTGTAATGAATTGTCTGACTTATTTTTTTTAATTGATTAATCTATGCAGCGGATAAGGGAATGAAACTCTCTACTTACTTATATTGTGTATAAATAAATATTAATTTAAATAATTCACAACAATAAATTGATGCAAGTATTACTACTTTTTATAGTGACTTTTTTATTAACTCATAATATATCTTAAAATCTCATTAGAATCTCATTTTTCTTCAAAAGTTTCATTGACTTAACTATGACCACCCCTCAAAACAGTCAGAAATTGTAAATGCACAGGACCATGTAAAAATCTTGGAATCTTGGAATCATAGACCATGTAAAATTTTATTTCAGCTGTGCACAGGACCTTACACAAAATTTCAACTTGTGGTTGTGATTTGGTCTTTCTAGACAGGTGACAAGGAGCATTAATTATAACATTAATGCTCTGTCGGGTAAGAAGGAAAAACAAGAGATATGGAGAGAAAATACAATAAAAGGAACAAATTTTCTTCCTTAAATAGAGAGGCGACAATGAGAGATAGGATGATAAAAAGAACGAGTAATTCTTTCACTTTTATAAATTTTTATTCCTATGAATATAGGCAAAATAAAGGAGGAAAATAAGTGGGATTATTATACAAATTTTAAATTACAATTATCCTAAATTATAGGAACACATTAAATTACTACTATCTTTGAATTAAAACTCTCTTTTCTGTTCTCTCTTACCCTCATTGTAAATTATAAATTTATTCTCTTCTCTTTCATCCAACGGAACAAAAAGAATAAATGACACAGTCTCTTTTTTAAGGATGTCTCATTCATCCATTCTTGTCTTCCTTCCATCCAACCTACAGAATCTAAAGTGACCATCACTGAAATGAAAATTAATCTACAACTTGGGATATCTACTCACTAAAGAATTAATTTTAGAACAATACTTGGCCACTAACCGGTGAGTAACCAATAAAAAATGCACACATAGGCCGTGATTACAAAATCCGTAAAGTGATAAATAAGTACAATTTTTTTGGGAATAAATATACATCATTCCTTGTAATTTCCTAGGAGTGGCAAATGAGTGTGTGAGGTCGAGTTTGGGCAGGGTCAAATATGAATGGGTCGAATATGGGTTGTCACCCATATTCCACTCACTTGTAACGAGTCGAATATGGGTTGGGCGAAAATGAGTAGGGTCAACCAGTTATGATCCGCTAACCCGTTTTAGGGGGAAGAAATGTTATTATTTTGGATAATGTCGTTACTATAGTTTTTTTTATTTTAGATGGATAAAAGCTTGTAAAAATATGTATGAATAATTGTAAAATCCTTTAATTTATTTTGAAAAGTTCTTTAAATTTATATTATTTTATTTTGTGCTTAGACATGCATGAAGTTAAGATATATATATATATATATATATATATATATATTATATGAAATCATTTGTTAAGCTTTTTATAAAATAAATAATTAAATGAATAAATCAGGTCGTCCTACTTTGAAACACAAATATAAATATAGGTTTCTTTTGAGCCGTAGTGTTACATACACGAGGAGTTCATAATGTAGAGAGAATCTTAGAGAGAGATAGTGGGAGAAATAGAGCATTTGGGATCGAGTGAGAGAATTTTAGAAAGGAAGAGTTGAATTTGAGTCAAATAGAGGTTGTGAAACTGAGTCTTTTATATAATGGGTGAAATATGGATCAAAATGGGTGATCTATATTCAACCCATTTAACCCTCTATAAAAATGGGTTAAATATGAGTCACCCATTTTAACCCATATTTTAAAATGGTTCACCCATATCCATTTTAAACGGGCAGATATGGACGGGTTGGTGAGTCATGACATGTGATGACTAAGTTTATTTTTATTTTTATTTTGCTTTCATATATATTTTTTTAATTGCATTCTGTTATGTTGTAGGGCCTAAGTTGACTAGTGGGCAAGATATGTGTAGATG